TCTTCCCTGCGGCTTTCTGCACCCTGGGTGGGGCTGGGCAGAGGCCCTGACCTGACCCTCCCGCCTTCTCGGAGTTTCCTTCTTATTCCAAGGGTCAGGACAGGCAAGCCAGCACTGCCGTCCTGCGGAGTGAACAGGAAGCACTTAGACACCACTCATCACGTGCCCAGCGTTGGACTCCAGGAAGGGTACAGAGGGTTGAGAGAACAATCCTGGCCCCAGGGACTGGAGTCGTGTGGTCGGCATTTACTTAGTGAGCACCTGCTCTACGTCAAGGCCTAGACGTGCACTGAGACCGATGGCGTGGTGAGGCTGCAGCCTAGTGCGACCTTCCGCTGGGTGCCCTGACCCTCGGCACTTTGCAGTGCAGAGGTCAATCTGAGGAAGGCTCCTGGAGGACATTCTGAATTGGAAGGCGCCCACATTTCTGGGCAGGGCGGGTAGAGTTACTTCCCAGAGCAAACCTTGACACCCTCCTCGTCTACCTGCTGTAGACCACAAGACGCAAGGAAAGAGGGTGTTTTCTAGCACCTGAGAGAAGGCCGAATCCGAGATGGTCCTCTCCTTCACCTAGATGTCTCTGCAGAGACACACTCCTGGGACCCCTATACTGAAAGCACCTCACTGGGGCCTTCTGCTTGCCTGGGGCTGGTTCCTGCGGGGGGTGGGATCTCACTGATGGTACCCCCACCCCGTTCCCACAGTGTGCACCTGTTGCTCCACCTGCAGGACTCGGAAAGGTGAGTAGGCAGCCAGCCTCTGCCGCGTGCTGGCCGCTCGCCTCTGGAGGAGGTTCTAACCGTGAGCTGGCACCTGACCTTGGGGCTCCCTTTTAGCTGCATGGTCTTGGGGGAGGCGTAAGGAGGCGAACTCCTTAAACTAGCAAACTTGTTATCTTACAATTTCTGTTGGCTGGGAATTGGGAGTGGCTGAACCAGATGGCTCTGGCTCTAGGTCTCCCAAGATATTGTAGTCAAAACATCTACCAGGGCTGAGTCACCTGCAGGCTGACAGCCTGGGGACCCACTTCCAGGATGGCTCTCATGGCTGTGGCCTGGAGGCCTCCAGGACCACTTAAGCCTCCTTACCAACATGGCGGGTGGCTTGGCCAAGAGTGTGTGAGCCAAGAGAGTGGGCAGGTCTCCTCTTTGAGGTTGCCTCTGCTTCTCTGCCTCTTTCTGTTGGTTGGAAGGGAATCATCGGGACTAGCCCATGTGGGAGAATGACTTCCACCTTGAAGGGAGGAGGATCAAAGCATGTGTGGGTTATTTTAAATCCACCGCAGGGTCATACTTCCTTGTACTCTGGGTGATAAGGACACGGAACTCGCTACAGTCCTCGGAAGTGACAAAACCCTGCAGTTCCAGGAGATTCTGGTCCTGGTGCAGCTAAGGGAGCCCTGGTCCTGCTTCGCCACTTACTAGCTGTGCATCTCCTAACCACTCTGAGCTCAGTTTCCCTCTGATAAAATGGACATGAAAATCGCTGCTTCCCCACCTCCCTGTGCTGTTGTGAAGTGGCTGTGGAAGGGCTCTCTGGAGGATGACCAGTATTAATAAGCCTGAAGCAGCCAGGGGACCTCTGGGGAAGGGGATGAGCCTCGAGCTCCTGGTTTCAGACAGGAGCTTTGGCTGCTGCCCTCCCAGAGCGTGTGAGTGATGGCTGGGCAGAGCGCGTCCACCGTGCAGTCCTCTCACAGCTCACCCCTCCTGTTTGCCAGCCTTAAATGGGGATGTTAGGAACTAGGGGGAGTGCTGGACTAACCCAGCCGCCTCAGCCTGTCTGGCTCCACCTCGGGGAGCTGCTCTCTGCTCAGAAGGTGGGAGGGGTGCCCTGGCCTGCAGCTTGCTGGCTGGGATGAGGGGAGGGAGGGGGGAAGGAGGGAGGCATGGTGTTGTCCGTGCTGCCAGCCCTGGTCCCACATGGAGGAAGAACAAGAGGACATGAAACTGCATCATATGAAGCATCATGTTTTCCCCCATTTCTTCACTTTTCTTTGGGTGTGGGGAGAGGAAAAGGGAGGAGAGTTTTTTTTTGTTTTTGTTTTTGTTTTAAGTGTGTGTTATTCGTGAGAGAGGGCATGCACGTGCAGAGAAGCACCTTTGACAAGGTCCCATTGTGATCTCCTCCCCGGCGCTCCAGCTTGTCAGGACCTTGGGTATGTGTGCACGCCTGGGGTGTGTCCAGTCAGCTGGGCCGGGGATCTGAACCTGCCATCAGCCATGTGGCTTTCACACTGCAGCTCAGTATGCTACCAAATGTGCCACCACGGCCGGGCCGAGTTAGGTATTTCTGACAGGGCTTTTCCATGTCACTGTCCTTGCACCTTCCAGTTATCTAGGACCCCAGACACCGCACCCATGGCGTTCAGGTTGGCCAAGACCTAAACTTGGGCTTCCGTGCAGCTTCCAGCCTCCCGGCCTGTGCACCACCACCACTGGGCCTCTGGCTTCTCAGTGCTCAGCTCGTTAAGGCCGTAGGAGATCTGGGAGTTTTACAGACCACAAGGCCATGATGAACTGACAAGGAGAGGCATGCTGAGTAGGAGCCCATCCAGAGCCCAGTCCCGCAGGGCCTCCTGATCCCGGTTGGAAATGGAGGGGTTGCATGCGGCTGTTCCCAGTGCCAGGCCTCAGGACTCAGGCCAGGGACGTGCCACTCATGAGAAACAACCGTGCAGTCCCCATGGCCCCAGCCAGCCGTGGTTGCTTCTGTCTGTCCACCCTGTCAGGTTTTGAGCTTAAGTTCTGTGGGCCACTCCAAGAAGCAAGCAAAGGCAGGTGGGAGGAAGGAGGCGCATCGACCACCCGTGTGGTTGCTGCTCCTAAGTTCTGTGAGCTGTCCCAGCGCCTGTCCTTCTGGGGTCTTGTCCTTTGAGGGACCAGGAGAGTAAATCTGCCTTCTCCTCCCATCGTTCCTCCTGGGATGGTTCTGTGCCACTCTCAGAAGCCCTCACCTGCCATGACACCGGTGGTTTCTTAACCAGAGGCTGCATTTCCAATGCACTTAAAGTACCTGCGGTTGATGTAGGAACTGACTCGCTTGGGGGGCTACTGGGACAGGCTATGTGTACCTGAGGGTGTGCCCAGGATTCAGTGGGGGACATCCTGGCTCCTCTTCCTAGAGCAGGCAGGGAGGCTGCAGAGGTGAGGGTTGTTGGGGAGCAGGCAGGGCAAGTGTAGGCCCCAGTTGAGTGGGCCCAGCTCTGAGTCCTTACCTGGAAGCTTCTACCCCAGTCCTCAGGATCGTGGGCTTCTGCCTCTCCCAGGGTCCACTTTCCACCAGTACCCTGGAGTTCTTCCTCCTCTCCCCGCAAGGGCATCTTGCAAGGAATCACATGAGGATGGGTGTGCCACCTCCCACTGTGACTGGGGGAGGAGTCCCTCCACTCTCTGGGCCTGTCTCCTCCTCCATGAGGTTGGGGTGGGCTGGATGCCCCTTGGCCCTGCCAGCTCCGAGTCTTGGTGAGTGAAGCATGCTAGGCAAAGTGGTGGCAGATGGCGTTGGGCTTTGTCTTGAACCCAGGGCTGGAGGCCAACTCTGAAGCAGCCATGCTGGGCGGGGTTTCAGGGGGGTTGTGGACTCTCCTCCTGGTCTCCTGAAATGACATCATGTGGGGGCGCTCCGGCCACAGCCTGGGAAGGCTCAGGTCGTTCTTGGATCCCTGCACAGGAAGGGACATTTTCTAGGAGTTCTAAATCCAGGTTTTATTCTGGACGGAGTGGGGAAGGTGAGCTTCTTGGAGGTTTATACGTGTGTCAAGGGGCAGTGGCAGCTGTGACAACAGCGCTCAGAGCCTCAGGAGAAGCAGAGGCTGAGCGGAGCCTGGAGCCAGAACATTCTGTCCATCGCTGCTCCACTCCTGCCTCTCTGTCCATCAATTCTCGAGTGTCTCCTGCTTGTCTCTGTCTCTCTTCCTCATGCTTCTTTTCTCTCTCTCCCACCCTTACTCCTCACTTTGCCTACCTGGAGGTAGCAGAGAACTGAACTGTGCCTGGGATTGGCTGTAGATATGTCCCCCCCAATACACACTTAAGAAATCCAGTACACGGGACATCCACTTCTGCCCTCACAGTGCGCGCGTGTGTGCGTGTGTGTGTGTGTGTGTGCGTGTGTTGAGTGTGTCTGAAAGAGAGAGAATTGTCCTTTATCAAGTGTGGCCTCAGGCAGTACCTTTCCTCTGCTCACAGCAGGAGCTGTTTGAGGCTTAGAGCATGGGAAGCGTGTGTATGTGTGTCAGTGTATGCATGTGCGTGCATGGGCGTATATTGTGCGTGCACGAGTGTCAGTGTGTATCTGCATAAATTAGCGTGTGTGGGCGTGAATGTGTGTGCCTGCATAGATTAGTGTGAGTGCATGGGTGTGCATGGATGTGAGCATGTACACGTGCACACGGACCCTTCCCTAACGGAATGTTCTTCTCTCTCTCCTCGGTGGCTGTTGGGGACGTGGATGTAAGTGTTCCGGAGGGCGTGCTCCTCACGTTTGTGGCCTCCCTGAATGCTCCCACTAACGTGTGCTGTGTGGGTGTGTGTGCTAACTGAGGGTGTTCCGCTGTGCTGCCTGGGTGGGGTGGCCCAGGGCTCGGAGCAGGAGACGCGGTTCTGCACGGGCTTTTTTTGTTTGTTTTGGAGAGGTTTTCGCTATAGGGCGCATGTACTCATCAGAGAGAGAGACAGAGAGACAGAAAGACAGAAAGCAAGAAATCACTACCCAGGGAGGATGGCCACCCCACAATTCCTTCTCCTCCATTCTCCTCTCAGGATCTTGGGCATGCACACACATGCACCTAGCGTGAGTTTAAGCCACCAGAACCGGGACTCGAACTGCGGTCAACTACATGAGTCCAGTGACATAGCCATTACGCTTTGAAAAGGCTTGGGGGCTCAGCCAGTTTCTCCCTTCCTCTGCCCTTCCCACAGAGATGAGGTGGAGCCACAGCAGGGCTTGTTGGAGCCCTGCTGACCTGATCTCTAATGCAGACTTGTCCGCCAGGGCACACACCCGGGGCCTGGGGAAGACATGGAAACCTGGCCCTTTCCTGGAGGCCACCCAGCCTTGGGCACTGTGGTGGCAACTCTGTGGGCTCAAGGCCTCAGCCGCCACGGTCCAGACAGCTTGCCTCCAGGAACCGTCAGAGTATAGAGACATGGGGCCAGGCCTCGGGACCACGTGGGCCCCATCTCTGTTTAGATCTGTGGGATAAGCATGCCAAGGAGACACAGCGCTGAAGCCTCTGCCTCCTCCTCCCGTCTGCTCCCTCAGTGGTTCTGTGCCCCGAGGGCCTTCTCTCTCCCTTGGTACTGCTCCTTGTTCCAAAAAGGGTTTTCATCTATTTGTGGAATGAATACGAGGTGACTTCCAAAAGTTTGTGGAAAAATGGAAAAGCTTACTTTGGTGCAAAACTTTTGAAATCTGTGCACAGTTTTGTTTTTATTAATAACACACATTTTCCTTGACCTTTTCCAAGGTCCCTCGTATGATGTATTGAATCAAAGTGAGAGAAATGGAGCTCGGGGGATAGGAAGTGGGCAGGTTAGACGGAGTCAGGGTGAGGAGAAAATTTTAAATGCATGTCACCAAGTTCAGGCTGTCAGAGACGCTGGGCTTTGTAGCAAGCGCTGCCAAGAGGGAAATACATCTGGGTGAGAGACGCAGTGTCCGCGGCGCCGCTGCCAGCGCGGGCCTCCGCTCCGCTTGTCCAGAATGCTCATCCTCACGGAGCCGGAGAGAGAGGTGG